CCTGTCTTTGGTGGGTACTTGTGTGGATGTCCATGGTGGTTTTCTTTAGGTGTCATATTGTTTGTTTTGAAAGTCCACGGGGCTGGTTGCTTATTGATCATAATCGAAAGTCAATTGTACTGCATTACTGGAATTTACGCCAATGGCTCAGTTGGTAGATTCTTTGACTATCCCCTGTTGTGTAGTCTCATGAGGCGAAAAAAAAGTCCATTCCTTTACATTAATTACCTCCTTGCTCAAAAGCAAAGCTGTTCAAAAAAAGGGCCTGGAATTTATTTGGTATAGACTTCAATTAGCCACCAAAATTATAAGAAATTTTTTTGAAACTAATTATCTCCCAAAGTTTTAAATAATTTTTGAAAGAAATTATCCTTCAAAATTTTAAGGAAATATTTTTTTAAAAGAATTAACCTCCAAAATTCTAAAGATTTTTTAAAATAAATTAACCCAAAAATTCCGAGAATTTTTTATAAAGAAATTAACTCCCCAAAATTCCAAGGGAGGTCAGATGGTGTTCTCCTCGGTCGCGGTTATGATCATTGGGCATAGTACTTGGACCTTATAAAATTTGGAGAGTCGTGGTTGTGATTGCAATATGTGGTCTGCACGTTTTGGGTAGGGCCACGGTCATGGTTGTGTCTTGACGGTTGACACTATTTTGTCAGTCGCTTTTCAAAATTTGAATTTTTCGAGTATCACGCATGGTAACTTGTGTTAGTGGTTATGCTAATCTTGCATCAGGTTACACGTTTATGAGACAGATTTGTGTGTGTGTGTGCTTTTTTTGTATAAACTGAGGAGTTTGGTGGCATTTTTCTTTTTACTCTTGTTTCTTTACTGTTTTAAGATCTATTGTCTCTTTTAATAATTTATAAAAATATATAATTTTAACTTAAAATATATAAAATTGATCAAAATTTGTAAGATATATATTATATGCAAATTCATAATTTTTAATTATTAAAATAATTATTTCATTATTAAAATTTTTATTTGTATACATTTTTTATATTAAAAATCATTTTTTGTAAATAATAAATATATTATCATTTAATGTAAATTAAAATATTAATTAATAATTACAAAAATATATAAATTTTGTAAGATATATATCATGTGCAAATTTATAAATTTTAAGTAGTAAGGTAATTATTCTACTATTCATATTTTATTTGTATAAATTTCTTGATATTAAAAACATCATTTGATGTAAATATAGGATTGATAGATTATTTATTCTATTTTTTTATAAAATATTAATCTTAAATATTATTTATTTTAATTTTTAGTTGGAATTGTTAAACGTAAATATTAATTATTTGTTTAGATAGAAATTAATAAAAACTATGTTATTTCATTAAATATTGCAATGCATGATATGGCTTAGTGGTTTGAAGGTGGGTTTAAGATTTTTGGTACCACGCATGTGTTCTTATAGGTTCAAATCATGCTATTAGCATTCTTTACATTTTTAATAGAAGACATTGCATATCGGTCGGTTTTGGTGCATATCGGCACATACAATGTGATACGGGCCGATATGCACCCGTATAAGTCCGATACACGGTATTTGAAATGTATCTTGTATCACCCTACTCTGATACCATTGTATCGATATTTAAATGGAGAAGTATGGATAGGCCCATTGCAGAATTTTGATTTTCACTACAGATTTATAACATTTTAAAAGGTCAATTACCCCTACCCTATGCACCAATGGCCGCCCATGAATTGGCATCAATTCTGAGCTGGCACCTACCCCAGTTGTACTTAGGCTAAACTGTCATTCTCCCATAATTAAATCCTTGGTTGTTGTTTGTATGAAAGATCACTAAATACTGAAAAAACAAATTTTTCAGTTTTTTGTAGTCAATTTGGCACTACCAAGTAGGGGTGGCAATTTTTCACCGAACCCGCTGAATCCACCCAACCCACCCAGTATCCAACCTGCCCATTTAAATGGATTGGGTTGGGTTGGATTGTGGGTGGGTAACCATTGGGGTAACCATTACAAACATAAGTATTATTTTCTTAGCCTTTTTTTTTTAATTTTCTTCATTTGAATTAAATAATTTATAATTAATACATTAATTTCTATTAATTATTGACTAAATTTAGTTTTGTCTTGAATCAACACACTTCACCCAAACACAAATCCAAATCAATTTGACCCGAGTTCAGACCAGTTCAACGCGGTTTGACCCAATCCCGTATATACCGGTCTGAGTCGACCCAAATCCGAAATAGACCCCGGGCGGGATGGTTCGGTACCGCTTGTTCTACCCGGTTTGGGTCATCCGGTCCAACCAGCATTCACACAGCCCGACCCAGTATGAGCTGATCTGAGTCGACCCAAATCCAAAATAGATCTCGAGCATGATGGTTCGATACCGCTTATTCTATCCGGTTTGGATCATCCGGTCCAATCAGTATTCACGCAGCCTGACCCGACCGAGTACAAGTTGATACGGATCGACCCGACCCAGTACAAGCCGAAACGGATCGACCCGACCCAGTACACGGTGTGTGCATGCTTTTGCCTAGTCTGGATTGTCCGGACAACCAATATCCGCACAAACCGACCCAATTTACTTACATTGACCCACTTCGGGTCAATCAGTTCGATCCCAAACCCGTGCACAAACTTGATTTGGTCCGGTCCAAGACAATCCACCATTGACTGAACCAGTCCGGCTCGGTCCAATCGAACTGATCCAAATCTAAACAGTTCAACCACCCTTGATGTGATTAGCTCGAAGATAATCCAATTAGATAGTTCAAGTTGGTGTGACCGGTTTGAACCTAAGTGGTTCAGTCAAACCCAAAATCCGAACATAGTCAAATGGCTTTGCCACTTGTGTAAAAATAACAAGTATGTAATATGATTTGAACATTCACCACTTATGTAAATAGTAACTACAATTACCATCAAGCTATGACCAACCTATTTGTTAAGAAAGAGTTAGTTTGTTTTTTAAGTCCATAAATATAAGATTAATGGGTTTGGGCAGGTTAGATTGGGTTAAAGCGGGTTTGGGTTGAACCCAACCCATTTGATTTTATATAACTGGGTCATTAATGGGTTGACAGGTTACGGAAAAAGCATATGATAGGTTGGAATGGGGATTTATTAGAAAGGTTCTTGAGAAATATGGGTTCCATACTAAGTGGATAAATTGGGTGATGGAATGTATTAGCACGGTTTCATTCCAAATCCTTATAAATGGTTCTCTCTCTAGATCACTTAGTGCCAGCAGATGCATTAGATAGGGGGATAGAGCTTCTAGGAGGGTCCATCCATTCCCATTTTGCAATTTGCGGATGATTGTATTATCTTTGCTAAGGCGTCAATGCTTGTTTGAAAATTAGGGAGATTTTGAACAATTTTGCTAAAGCTTCTAGGCAGCTCCCTAATTACCTTAAATAGGCCATATCTTTTTCCAAAAATATTCCTAACCGTTTTCAAAAAATCATGGCCAAAAAATCTTGGAGCTCCAATCATTGATGGTAGAGTTACAAAGGAAACCTTTAAATATATTAAAGAAAAAATGGCCAATAAACTGGCTGGGTGGAAAAAAAAAATTTTCTTTCTTTGGCTGGGAAATTAACGCTTATTAATTCTTCTGCGTCCATGGTACCTCAGTTTGTCATGCAAACCTTTAAAATTCTAAACAATGTAATTGAGGACATTGAAAAAGCCCAAAGGGATTTTCTATGGTCAAATACGAATAGCCAGAACCCCATCCATTTAGTTAACTGGAGTAGAGTTTGCACTCTAAAAATGTGGGGAGGTTTAGGAATAAAGAATTTGAAATGGTCCAGCCGGGCTCTTCTTGCTAAGCTAGGCTAGGAAGTTATTAATTGTCAAGATAATCTTTGGGTTAGAGTGGTTTCAAGTAAATATCTCAAGAAAAATAACTTTTGGGAGGTTAACCCAAAAAAAGATGTTTCTTGCGCCTGGAGGGGGATTTTAGGCTCTAGAGATTTGATTAAAAGGGGATCCACTTGAAGAATAGGAAATGGTAAGAGAGTGTGGAAATTAAATCCGGATGGAGATTTTTCGGTTAAATCGGCTTATTTAGAGGAATGTCGTTTTTAATAGGGGAGCCTGTTTGTCAAATAATTATATAAATAATTTTTGGAGTCTCTTGTTCCTCCGAAAATTAAAACTTTCATTTTCCTTTTCTTAAATGACAAACTTCCCACTAAAAATAATCTTATTGCGAGGGGTTGTAGAATTGACCCGGCATGTGTTTACTGCGGGGAAGAGGAGAATATTGATCACCTATTTGTTAAGTGTGAATCAGCGAAACAAATTTCGAATAGGTTGGTTGAAGTGTTACCAGTGTTGAAATCCTATGATATTACTTTGAAGCAGTGGTGGTCTAGTTTAGGTAACCAGAATTGGTGTTTCAAGGATAAATTCATAAAAGAGAAAATTGCTTGTTTTTACTGGTTCATATGGAAGAACAGAAATGAAAAATGCTTGATGGTAAGTGCAGTAATTCCCAAATAATCATTTATAGAGCATTAAGTTACTAGAACGAAATTAAAGAAACCATTTTGAGTTTTGAACCAGTATTGGGTAAGTCTTGGAAGCAACTTGAGTGGCTCAAACCTAAACCCGACTGCATCAAAATAAGCTTTGATGCTACATGTTCTAATACTGGAAGTTGTGCCATTGGATGCATTGCTAGGAATCATCAGCGCAAAGTTCTTGAAACCAAGGCCCTTAGGATTGGATCAACGACGATTAACTATGCTGAAGCGTGGGCGGCTTGGGAAGCTATAAACGTAGCGATCAACTACAAGAACCAATGGATCACCATTGAAGGAGATTCTAAAATTGTCATTGACTGCCTCAATGGTAGATTGATTCCTCCCTGGAGATTAGAATGCATTATCAAGGAATGTCTCAAGCTTATTGATTTTTTCAACTTGGACATCAGTTTTAAGCATACGGATCGGGAAGCAAATCAAGCGGTTAATTGGCTTGCCCAAAGGGCTCTAATGTGTCAAATTAATAATAGAGATTTTAGGTTTTGTGACATTAATTTGGGAAGAGCTACCCCCGTCTTATGTAGCTCAGTCTTTTCTTTCATCAATAAATATATATATATAGAGAGAGAAGGCGGAATCCCGGTGTATTTCTACATGGAGTCTAAGCAGCTATATGCGGGAATCTTCCTAATTCCAGCCTGTACCATGGCTTTCCTCAAATCTGCAGCAGAGCCCCATTCCCCTGCCCCAGCATAAATGTTGGACAATACCACGTATCGCCCGCAATGCCATGGCTGCAGTTCAAGCAACCTCCTCCCCACGTCACTTGCCAAACCAACGGCCCCATGAACCCTGCAAGCACCAAGAAGAGCCCCCAGAACAGTGGCATCCGGCTCGAAAGGCATACCCCTAATAATTTCAGCTGCTTCCTCCAGAAGCCCTGCTCTGCCCAGGAGATCAACCACGCAACCGTAGTGCTCCATTTTAGGATTGACACCAAAATCATGCAGCATCGATCGAAACAATTTCAAACCCATCTCCACCAGTTTGGAACGAGCACAAGCAGCTAACACTGCAACAAAAGTAACCTCGTTTGGCTGCAGGCCTTCCACCCTCATCTCCTCAAACATGTCTAAGGCCTGTTTCTCTCTGCCATTAGAAGCCAACGATGAAATGATTGCGTTCCAAGTGCACACCTCTTTAACAGTCATTTTGTTGAATACTCTAGTCGCGCTCTCCAGACATCCTGTCTTCCCATACATAGCTATTAATGCCGTTCCCAGAAACACTGTTATTTCAATCTCATTCCTCAGAATGTAACCATGGATTTGCCTCCCTTGATACAAAGCTCCTTCGTCCAAGTTAGCGCAGGCAGAGAGGACACTTACCAATGTAGCTTCGTTGGGTATAATTAGACGATCAATTATATCTTCATGAAACATCATCTTCTCAAAAAACCGAATTGCCTCTTGGAAGTGCCCATTCTTCCCAAACCCACTAATGATACTCGTCCACGAAACTATATCTCTCTCGGGCATGCATTCGAAGAGTGCAACAGCTCTACCCATATTCCCATTCTTGCCAAAAGCGTCGAGCATTGAATTGAAAGCGACAATGCATGGGTGGGGAATTTCTTCGAAGACATGACGAGCATGTTCTATGTCACCAATTAGTGAATAAAAGCTAACGAGGGATGTTTGAATAAACGGGTCAAGCGACAATCCTCGTCTGATGACTTGGGTGTGAATAGGTCTGCCTGCAAGGGAAGCCATGGAAGGTAAGGCAGAAGCAGCAGCTTTGATGAGAGAAGGGAAGGTGTAATTGTTGGGTGGGGCTTGGTGAGCAAGCATATGGGTGAAGAGGAGTAAGGCCTTGTGAGGGTCTCCGAGGTTGAGGTGGGCTCTGATCAAAGTGTTGTAAAGAAGGGTGCTTATCCATTTCAGAGCTGAATTCTTGCAAGCGGGTTGGAAGTGGAGGTGACCGTTGGTGATGAGGAGGGAATGGATCTGATTGACTTGGTTGCTATGTTTGATGAAGCGCTGAAGAAGTAGTAGTAGACGCTCCAGCGGGTATGTCATGCCAATCCAATCAAGTACTCATGATTTATTTGAGTTGAGGACTAAACTGGGAGACTGTTGCAGCCTTTCAGGGGAGCTCAGTTCAGCTGCTGTTTGCTACATACATCCTCCATCGTTACCTTCGCTACGTTTGTGTCATTAATTTGCGAATCAATCACCAATGTAGGTTCTAATTGTTTTTTGCTGCAAGAAGCCGAGGACCCACCATCACCCTTATATGGTTATGGACCCAAATTGGATTGAGCTCAAGCAAGGGTGCAAATGGCTAGTTAGAAGAATTTACACAGAATTTAGCCCATTCAAATTTTAGCAAATTCTCAGCCCAAGTTACAAACCTAGGCCCGAATTCTCATGATACACCCCTTTAGTACCCTGAAATTTGGGGGTAGTGTCAAGTTTGTATCCAAACGTGTCACTGCAGTATTTAAACTTTTAAAAATTGTCAAGTTGGTTCCTGCCGTTAATCGATCGTTAGTTATTTGTTGAAAATATCAAAACTACCCTTCAAAAGAAGGCATTGTTCATTTTTTTCTACCTTTAGATCTGAAATATATTCTTATCTACTTATTTCTTTGCTTTCAGTTGTTGTTTCCCTCTATCATATTTCATGTTTTTTCTCTTTTTCGTTGAAGATAACCGATTCAGTTTTAAAGTAGAAGACAATGAACAGTGTTTTCTTTTGAAGGGTAGTTTTGACATTATCAACAGATAGCTGACAGTCGATTAACGACAGGGACCAACTTGACACTTTAAAAATTTAGGCACTACAATGACATGTTTGAAAGTTCGGGTACTAACTTGACATTACCCTCAAAGTTCAGGGTACTAAAGTGAAAATTTCCCTAAATTTTAAGTTTTCAATAGACGAGTGTAAGAGAATATAACATACTTAGCATATGACACATTGTGTGCATGTAAGCAATAACCATATATTATATATGGTATACAAGGCTAGAAGGATTCTATCTATCTATCTATCTCTATATGGGTTTAACTTTTATGACCTTAACAACTTTTTTGTGGTTATAAGTTATATGGCCACATAGGAGCCACAACACCTCATTGGAGGAAATGTCAACATACATATAGGAAACGTTACCTCGTTATTGCGAGAAATAAGGGTGGTTACGTGAAAAGATCGATTCAACTTAGTCTAAACTGAGTTTCAAGCCGAGCTCGAGCCCAATAAAATTTGGTTCGCGAGCCTAATTGAGTTTTTACACATATGTATATATAATATTTTTATTATATATAATAACTAGTTTTTATAATTCTTAACTTTTATATATCAAATAAAAAATAATTGAGTTCAAATTTACGAGCTTTTGACTCAAGCCCAATGCAAATTCAAGTTTCTAGCTCGAATCCAAACACCGTTTTGGTGTTTGAAGCAGTTGTGAGTAATATAGATTCCAAAGTGTTTCCATTTCCTATCGTTTCTCACTTAAAATGGTCCAACCAAATTTTTTTACCCTGGAAGTATAATTTCCTACGTGATGCCTACATGGACTTGAAACACCATCTCAAAACCCTTGCAGCGCACATTGGAAACATCCCATACTTTATATTTTATTCATGAGCACCAATTCTATGAGTAGATCTGAATTCATCTAATTTGCCTTCCATTTCCATATGGTAAAAATCTTGACAGGGACGCTGAGTTTTATATGGGACAGTCGGAAATAGATAAAGCAGCAGGGTATTTTAAACTAGATAATTTTTCTTGTTTCTTCTCTTCACTGAAAATGCTAGTGGACCGCTTTGGTGTCTGTAAAAACAATCTTCAATTTATAGGCATTTGCCACGATCTCTAAAAATAAGGCTGTCTAACATGCTCAGAAATCAGACAAGGTGCGAATAAGCTGATTGGTAAGGTCTCTTGGTGATGGGCTACCTCCGTTGTGTCATGCTCCAAATAATTTACATGTTTTTATGTTTTTTTTGCCATATATATAAGCTGCTCAGTAAAAACTAAAAAGAAATGAGAGAAGGATTTATTAATAATTAATGAATAATAACTAGGAATTTAGGATATGCTTCATATGGTATCAGGCATTGAGATTGAAAACAAGGAAAAGAAAGAGAAGCAAAACAAAAATTTTGGGAATTTAGATCACAAAAATCTCAGAAGAGCCTATTTTCATTGCTCTGAACTCCACATGCTACTGGTGCTTTAGCTCTCACTCTTTTAAAATACCACACAACAGCTCCAATCCCTACAGCAGCGACGGAAACTGCTGACGTCGTCCCTGCATTGACAAACGACATGGTCACCATGGCCATCACACCATCCAAAAAACCAAAGCAGAACAAAAACACCCCTACATACAATATAAATCTATCTTACCGGCAATTACTCCCACCTTTGCACTATACCCAGAACTGCCATGATCTGTGGATATGGAAAATATGCATCAGTCTTGAGATTATATATCAAAGGCAGAAAGCATTTTCAAGCTACTCTATTTAACGATTCAAACTTCAATTTCCATCAAGCAAACCCAAAATTGAACTTAATACTTCTGTAACAGAGGTTCAGCATTAAATCAATACCCATGTTTAACATACCTGAACAGAAAGTGGTTACATTTCCTTCCTCACAGAGGCACAAGAAACTCTGCGTCCCAGTATCAAATCCGCATGTCCCTCCTCCCCTGGAATTATCCTGACACTGAAGGCAACGGGTGGTCACCGGAATATCAAAATCTATCCGGATTCCATACTCTGGGATTTGATCATAAGGCGGAGCTGCCCCAACAGTTTTCCAATGAACGCTAGTGTAAGATGCACAGTATTGCAACATCAACCTTAAAGATTCCGTAGCCTTTGGGTAGTAAGAACAGCAAGAACTACTCCCACCCAGTGCGGCTGGGCAATCAGGTAAGTGACGGCAGAGATAGCTAGCACTGTCACAGGATGAGTCACAACGCTCGGGGAACCGCTCGCAGAAGCTGGGCTTGGGCTCGATGAGCACATCTTCCTCGCTACAGTTGAAGAAGAGGTATTCATTCTGAGAGGAGAGGGAGAATGGAGTGCTGGTGTCGAGACTGAATTGCCTGGTCGGACGGAAGTTATCGCCATCTTCGCAGTTCCACATGAATGGATCAGAAAGTAGAATGTGGAAATCAGAATAACTTATGCTCCGAATTGGGTATCTCCCGGAAGGTGTTCGTAGTTCAAGTTTTCCAGACTCTGAGCAGACGAACATATGTCGGTAGTAGGGGCTTCCACAACCATCGTCGATACCAAAAGGGTACTTGATGGGGATATAGCCACAAGAGCTTCTACAGAGGCTTGACTGAGCGAATATGGATTTGAAGAAGGAAAGAGCAAGTAGAGATGTTATAACAAACAAATAAGAACAAGAACAGGACCCAATTTCTGATATCAGTCTATGTCTCAAGAGAGAACCCATTAGTGATACGGATGGTGACAGACAGAAGATATCATGATTTTCTCAGAGTCAGGATTTGTATGATTAAGAAGTCGGTCAGATTATCCAAGTGAAGTCTTTCTTAATACAGAAGATGGGGATTGGAGAATCTCTATCAAGCCTTATTTACTTTTGCTTTTGCTTTTTCTTTAATTTGTTCTCTTTTCTTTTCTTTCTAAGTGCTTTTGCATTCCTGCTTTCAGTTTCAGGAAGAATGCAGAGAGGTGGGGATCTCTGTTGGGTTAACAATGGCAGATGATCACACCTAAAACAGCCAATCACAAGCCAACAACTCTTCTAAGGTGGACGGGGTCCACAAAATGCCCCTTTTGACTGAAACCAAGTAACCAACACCAAGCATCTATTGGATTGACAACCAAGTATGCACCCTCCTGGTCAGAAGTTGGGAATGTTGGATAACTTAACAATGCCAACATGTAGCAACTCCTTGTATGATGCCAACGTTTACCAAAGATGATTTTCATTTTGGGTCATCATATTGTTCTTTTTTGGTAAAGAAAGCCATTCATAAAGGCTGTGTTTGGTTGGAAAGAAAAGATAGGGAAACCTATAGAAGCCTCTGTATGGATTTCCCTACCTGTCCCTTCTTTTCCTGGCTTTTCTTTCAAACCAAACACAGCCTAAGGAAACAAAAACAAGACTGTTTCGGATATACATGTGAGTTGTGGAGTTATGTGGAGTGAAGAGACCCACATTAGAAAAAAGGATAAAAAGTGCAAGGGACTTGTATACAAGGATTGACCCACAGCTCATTAGCTTAATCTTTTGGGTTATAAGTGGAGTTCAAATCTTGTGTGCAAGTCCCCAAATTCCACGGTTTTGCTTTGTTTTACTCCTCTATTCTTATTTGGAATGTTTGGAGCTCCGGATCATTGATAAAAGTATGAGCTATCGTTGCTGATCAAAAAATCATTTGCTGATTTTAGTTTTTCCTTTGTATTACAAATACAACTGATGTTATTATATTTGTATTTGATTTCTTAATTTGTTACAAGTTGAGAGGGCTAGAAGGGCAATGGGTAGACCAAAAAGGACATGGATAGAAGTAATAAGAAACAATTTAAGTGCCAATAATTTAACAATGGATACAACATTAAACAGAAAACTGGCAAAACAGTGATTGATGTAGTCCACCCCATATGGTTGGGACAAGGCTTGGATGATGATGACGATATTTGTATCTGATTTTTCATTCTTTTTTCATCAGACATTTGATGGGTCAAAGAAGATGCTCCTGCCATAGTAGTTTTCACCAGAGTAAGACTTATCTTTGTGAAGATATTTGCTTTCTCTTTTACATGATTTTAGTGATGAATCACTATTTATCTATAAAAATTAGGCTTTTAATTATCATTAAAAAAGACATTTAAGCTTCTATTATGTTAGCATCAATCAATAACTAGTTTCATTTATCTTGTTGCTCTTCACAGCTTGTATCATGGAAAGGTTAGGGTGAAGCACAATGTTTAATGGATAGATGATTTTTTATTGGAAAGGTGCTGTTAAGGATATATGTGCTTCAGTTAGCTGGCTCAAGGCAAATGGTCCAGAGAAGGTACACTGATGCTTACTTTTATTTGTTGGAGGTGCACTAATACTGTTATGCTTGATCATGTTATAGAAACCTCTAGCCCATCTTCCTATCTTACCAGCCTTTGCAATGATAGAGTTGTTAGAGAGTTCCCTTTTTCTGTTATAACTTATAAATCAAAAGGTGTGAAAGATCAGGTATTTTAACCTAACAACAAACTAGGGAAGAGATTCAATACAAAGGGCTTACTGACTTGGGGTTTGTCATGCATTATGACCTTCAATTAATTTAAAAAGTTAAAACTTAACAGAAAAATGGATAATCCCTTGAAAATTTTCCATTTATCTTATTTGTGAATTAAGTGTATTGTTATGACCGTTTATCTTGACAGTGTCGTGCATGGAAGTGAGATCCTACATGTAACCAACAGACTTCACACTAATAGGTAGGTGTAGGATACATTGATGGTACTCTCTCAATTGCATGTGCCGTTTTGATTCCTGAAGTTGATGTTGTTGTTGCTTTCTTGGGGAGCTTGATAACTTTGTTGGGATTTCAGGTATCATCTGTTACCATTTATCAATTTGTCTGTCAAATGCTTGCATTGTTTACTTATCCTTCCAACACTTTCAGTTGCCCTAACTGTTTAAATTACACTTGTAAAATTAAATAATTCATGGAATTGAATCATAGTCCTATTGGATTACAGTTGATAAACATTTTATGAATTTCAGATGATGTGCACAAATGCTAGAACTTGTTCTTCCTGGAAACCATGAGAAGTACAATCTTGTCAAAACCCAATATTTCCTTAACCTAGACAAATTTTAACTGCAGCCAGTTCTATAAAAAGCTTTCAAATACACAAGAGTTTGACTGCAAAAGATGAATACTAAGTTCAAATTTCAAGTGAGGTGAAAAAAGGCTCCAGTCTCAAATACTTTTAGGGGGGGTTGTTTTTTTCAGATTTTGAGAGGGGGGAAAGATGGTCAATGGGATTTTGGTTCCCATTGACCAAGAACCCCATATTCTTTTTTCAGATTTATGTGGGGACCAGGGAAAGTTTATTGTCCTGGGTACCAATTACCTGGGTAAGTGATACCCATCTCCTAGGTGGGTAAATAACTTTCCCACCTAGAGGGAAAGTTGCCAACACTTGATTGAGACAAAAATGTCTCTTTTAATAATGGATTTTTATGGCTAAAATGATCATTGCCTTATTTACATGAGAAATAAAAGAACATGGGTAAATGCACTTACCCGGGTAAGCGTTTCCCAGGAAAAACTTACCCAGGTAACTGCATTTACCCAGTAAGTAACTTACCGAAAAGAAAACAGGGCCTTAGTGTGAACACCTAAGAGGATGTGTATTCTCAGGGAAAAATCTATCAGGCATGAAGTGTGGACAAGCACAGGACTACCCATTCCTTGTGCTGAAATTTAATTAAATATAATGGGGGGCGATGAAAATCGAACACTAGACCACTTGGTCAAACAGGCTTTTGATAGCATCTCAGGGAACCGTTCAACCTAAAAGCTTAAGCTTTTTTAGGTGAGGTCCCTGAATAGGTTTTTATTCTCTAACACATATGATATGTTACTCTGTTACTTAGTAATGATCTCTATAATAACTTCTATCAGAGTCTGAAAATAAAATCAACCTCTTTTTTTGATAATTAAAAATAACATCAACTTAATATGTTAATCAAATAACCAGGACATTGTTGCCTTAGTCAAACCATGGGTGGAATATCTAGGTTTATGAGCCTATTTGCAGATTCATAGGGTGGAATATCTAGCAATTAAAATCGAATTTTGATTTCCAAAATAAAAGAGAATAAGATATCTCTTAAGATCTCCTAAGAAATAAAATGTTCCCAAAGATCTACTAAAACCCCTTAAGTATCTTCTAATCTCTCCTAACTTGAACAGAAAGTACATCTTTTAAGGCTGTGTTTGGTTTGAAGGAAAAAGTAGGGAAAGGTAGGGAAACCTTTACAAACCTTGTATAGGTTTCCCTACCTTTTCCTTCAAACCAAACATAGCATAAGTGTAAAGAAATATTTTTGGCACCATGAAACAACTCTCTTTCTCTTTCTCAGTCTTTAGCCTGCCTTATGTATCTAGATGACTTACTTGGCTGACATTTTGTCTTGATTTTCTGAAGTGATACCATCTCTGCCTTTATTTGTGTACAAGGAGAGGCAGCAAAAAAGCTCCCCAACCTTTTGCTTCCTTGTTCTTCCACATGCGGAGTCAGGATTCACTTCTCGTAGAGTTTATTGGTACAAATGAGCATGTCAAGGGACATCCCTTTTCTGCTTGGCTTGTACAGGATGCAAGCTTCCATCATTGAAGATAGATGCTACTGAATTTTTCCATTTGCTTTCTGTTGGGAAATCTGAGAACAAACAACACACTTTTCAAAACAAAAGCATTTTCTTGGAGATTTTTCCAGATAATATCACAGGCATTCTATTCTTTTGCCTTCCCTCTGGAAAAAATTCTGGTTGTATAAACTATCAACATCGTTTGCTTTAGAAATTGATGGATTCTGCATCCCTGTTTTTTGATGTCTAGCTACTTATTTCATAGCTGATCATCCTTTATTTCTTTGGAGGAAAGGAATAGGAAGGACTGATGAAGACAAAGGTGGAGTGGAGCTGGCATGGTATTGCTTCCTGTCCTAGATGAATGGCCACTTGTCTGCATGATGAAAGAGCTGCAGTACAGGACTAGCAAGAACAAGGAGTTTTATGAACCCTTGTTATCTGTACCCATGTTCTATTTAGGATCTCTGAAGTCTGATGTAGTGTTCACTCAGATACAATGGAAGCTTTGTTGATGTTGGTTCTTACTGTTGTTTCATTGTGCCCCTATTTGAGTAAGAGATTTCAAAACAATGCATCTACAGATGTAGAATTAAGAAACTGGTAACTGAAGATTGAGTTCAGGGATTTATTCACTCTGTATCATGAAGTTCATATCTTCGGATGTTAATAAAGAAATTGCATTGATGGTTGCCATAGTTTCACTATTGATCATTCTAAGTTGAGAGATTGATCATCCATCTGATGTTCTTCCCCTTCACTAGGAACCAACAACGAAAAGTGATACAGAAGATATCCTTGTTGAAACCACATATCTTTGACTGTGGGCCCAAATAAATCCTACTTTGAATTGGTAAATCCAATGGTTCAGACTTTGTTTTGGCTTTGTTGAAACAAGGTTTGTAGTTTTTCTTGGGTAAAATATAAGAACTTCCTTGAAGCTTCTGATAATCATAGAAACCTCAATAGAAGAAGAAGATATCCTTGTTAAACCACATATCTTTGACTATGGGCCCAAATAAATCCTACTTTAAAACGGTAAATCCAATGGTTCAGACTTTGTTTTGGCTTTGTTGAAACAAGGTTTGTAGTTTTTCTTGGGTGAAATATAAAAACCTCCCCTGAAGTTTCTGATAATCATAGAAACCTTTCCTGAGGTTTCACTTTCATAAAAACCTGTAGTTACCAAAAACCTGCAAATGCAATTACCTTCCTTCCATCTTTGTTCTAGCATTGAAGACTTCAAAGTTACAAAATTACCGTTATAATTTATTAGGGAATTTTTCAATAAAATGCCAAATTTGCCCTTCTAAACTTCATTAGAACTAACATTTTTATAGAGAAATTATTTTATTCTCTTCAATCTAATTTGGAGATCTTTTTTAATTAAAAGTGAAAAATTATTTTGGGGGTATTTTAATAAGTTTTTATGTAAATTGATAGATGTAAGGGTAAATGGATATTTTTGAAAAATTAATGCAATAGACGAACATTTTATGTCCATGACAATAAAACAAAGGGAGGTAACTGCAGCTTTTCTCAATACTATAAGGGAGGTTTTTGTGAAAATGAAATTATAGGGGAGCCTTTTATGATTGTCAGAAACCTCAGGAGAAGTTTTTATATTTTACCCTTTTTTTTGATAAAGAACAAGGGTTTGCAGTTTGGTCAGTGTAATTTCCCATCACGTGAAGAAGTCAATCCGAAACTTAAATCACAGTCATCCAATTGTAATAGTGATTATTCGACGGCTAAGGTCGTCCAGACAATTCGTCCCTCACCTTTTTTACAATGATTGTTTAATATTGTAGGTAGGAGATCAGAACCGCTAAGGTAGCTGCTTAAGGAATTGGAGTGGAGGCTGTTATCAATATCATCCCTCAGTTAAAAGACCGTTAACCTAAAGATTAAGGCTGTGTTTGGTTTTATAGAATTAAGAGAGAAACAGGAAGTTAAGGTAAAGCTTCGACTTTCGAGTCTCTCTTTCCCACAACTGTCTTATTTTCTAACAAACCAAACATAACCTAAGGAGAAAAGTATCTATCCCAGATCCAAACAACGAAACAGAAGACACCCACCAAAAAAATGGAGACAAGTTAAAAAGAGAAATTGTATATTTACCGCCTTATTTCAGCCGTCTCTCCGTTTTTGCTTTTTCTCGCCCTCGTCGCTGTGTTTCAGAGAGAAGACGTAGACAGTGATCAACGAGAGGAGGACGCTAAAGTCTAGAGCATCATTCACAGGAGAAGGTGTCTCCGAAGTCCGAAGAAGAGCTACCTCTTATGTTCTCTTTTATCTCCTCCTGTCAGTTTTGGAACAGAAGGCAATCACAGTTTCTAGGGTTTCGACAGAGGTCGATTGATTGATTATGGATCTCGAAGTGGTGGGACGCCATGCCCTTCTTTTCGATGACGACTCTACTGCCGCATTCATCAACTCTTCTGACGCCTTAGTCGAGTGGAATTCGCTCCTCATCGATCGCTACGACGTCCGGCACCTCCTTCAACACCCTCCGCCTCCCATCAAGAGGCGCCGCCATCACCCTTCCTCTCCTTCTTCGTTCGAGGCTGAGCTCGATGAAGAGAGATATCTCGATCTACCACCACCCTCCGATGACCAAGATCAATCATCCCTTCCAGGTCCGTTTTCCTTGTCCTCCATGTTCTGCCCTCCTCTCTGTCTTAGTTGTCCTTCATCTTACCTTTTTCTTGTTATATGAATTAAAAAATGGCCGATTTCTTAGCGCACCTGTTATTTATTTTCTTATCTACTTTTCTGGTGCCAATATATCAGTAAATCTACATGAAATTTTGTTTGGGTGTGACCGCAATTATAGTTAAGCGTTTTGTTCGCCTCTCAAGGATGTTCTTTAATGAACTTAACATGGATTTTAATGAATCCTTTTGATTTTTGCCAAAAAAATAAAAATAAAAGGAGTTCACATGCTTTAATTTCGAATTATTATAAAATCTTACCTGGAATGTTGAAGGAGATATGCGAATAAACAACTCAACCTACTGACGAATGCATCTTTATGTGATAACTCGAATTAAAATTATTTCGTTTTGCTTATTGCAGAAAAATTTACATCATCCTTTTGAACAACGAATACAAAATAAAGCAGCATATAGTGGAGGATAGTTTTATTCTTAGGCTCGGAACCTGTCTAGATGCAATTAATACACCGTATATGGTGTCATTTGGAGCTATTTAAGGCCCTGTATTGGCACTAAGTCCACTCTTTATGGCCAAAATGACACCCTAGGTGGTCTACTAATGTAACCCTTACTGTTATTCTATGGAAAAATTGTAATCTGAGAAGACAGATTTCCTGCCTTGAATTCTTAGCAGGTCGAAGAGGCATTTACTTTTGAAGCCTAAGTTTCAGTTGGTTCCCATAAATTGAGCATTACTACAGAGAAATATATTTTCCCTTTTCCTACTACAAGGATCGATAGAAACCAAATATAAGTTGACAGTTGGGGAAAGAAGACACAAACTGATGGAAAATATCTTTCACTATTAGATGCTGTTCCCAAGCTTCGGAAGTTACCAATTCCGTGGTTATCATTAATGCAATCAAAAGAAACTTATTAATGTACCAAAAGACCCCTACTTTAGAATGAGTAATAGCAGCAGCAATACAAATGTCAGCTACTCAGCTGCACAAATATAAGAAATAGCAATTGGCTGACAGGTAACCACATCCATTTCAATTTACATGTCAGGTGGCTTGCAGTACCCCTGGCCTGGGAGCATCCCAAACTATCTCCATTTTTGCCCACCCTATCTCTAGCTAAAGTTATATTTCTTAGCAACAGTACTCCTGCCCATTCGTCATTCGGTTCATTGTGGCCAAGGTGCAAGCAACAATACAAACATGCTTACATGGACCTGCCACCCAAGATGCTTGTTTCTGTAACCACAGTAACTGCATTCAATTCGAATTTCCATTGGAGAGCATGTTGTGGGTTGTTCTAGTATTTGGAAACATTTCTAAAATACTATCACCCCTTAACTTGGGCTCTATATAGAAAGGCATTCTAGTTTCTGTTCTGTATCAGGATAGTGCTTTATTTGCAATACATTTCCAAGTTGCGGGAAGGATTCCTAATTTGCAACATTTACATCTCTCTTGGGGCAAGTAAGAATCATTTCACCCGACTCCACTATTTCTTATTTTCTTTTTTTCTTCTTAATATCTCTGTAGTGTATTGCTTGATGCATACTCACCAATCTGTTGATACTGAACCTTGCCTGTGCAAACTTGTTTTAAAATTTTACTTTTCATCATTCAGAACCAGACAGTGGAGCAAAACTGGCAGATAAAGGTGCCTACCATACTGTTGCCTTTTCATATGAAAATTCTGATGCTACCATTCACCAGAGGAATTCTGATGGTGGTTTGGGATCTTCCAGTTTTCTTCCACCATTCCCAGTGCCTGAATTTCTACTCCAGAGCCTAGTAAGTGCTCTCTTGCATTTTGACTTTATGGCAGATATTTTTTTCTTCATATGCCCTGTATATTATTGTTTGTATGAAGTTATTAATGCTTGTCAATCTGGTCGCTGCTAATTGTCCAAAGTACATATGTTATTCTAAGGGTTACCATGTCTAAGTTTCAGATACTCGGAGCAGTGTGGAGTTCTTGACGTAAGGTTGCCATTCATGGGAACCTTGTTTCCTTTTGATGTTTCATGACCAAGGGACCATGCAGGTGGGATTAGGAAGATAGGTTTTTGTTACTTCATGAGGAAAATAAATCATCAGCAGAACACTTTCAAGCAAATTGGCTGAAACATATTGTTACAAAATTCTCTTTCATGATCTTTATATTTGTCAGATATATGTGAGATTCCATGGTTCTAACTTGGAACTTTTAGTAAGATGTATATTTTTTCCTAGAGTATTTTTCTGTCATGAATTTCATCATTACTGAGTGGCCTTTTTTCTCTTTCGGTTTCAGCCTCCAACGGAGAAGGTGCATCAAATTATTGCGAGAACTGCTTTATTTGTCTGCAAACATGGAGGACAGTCAGAAATTGTATTGAGGGTGAAACAAGGAGACAACCCAACATTTGGGTTCTTGATGCCTGACCATCATCTTCATGCATATTTCAGATACCTTGTTGACCATCCAGAACTTCTAAAGTCAGACATGGATGCTAAACCTCAAGAAGATGGTGAGAAAGCAGATAATGAGCAAAATCAGACAGGTGATGTTGCAGCTGGGGCATTATCATTGCTTGGATCTGTATATGGGACTGGGGAGGATGAGGACACTGCACTCCACGCTGCAACAGAATGCAAAGAAAAGGAGCTTGGTGAATCCTTAAAAGCTGCTGATACAACCATTTCGCATGATTCAAAAGAAGCAGAATCTTGTGGTAAATTGATCAGAAAAGAAGAGGAAACTTCCAAATGCCCACTTCCTGCTATTAAGGAGAAGGCCCCCTCATCAAAAAGAAACCGATTGGTGACTACAATAAATGCTGGTACTAGCAGTAGTAGGAAAAAAGAAGGTGATGTATTGGGTTCACATCATGCTGCTGTGTATAAAGCTCAGGCTTCTAATATGCCTAGCACATCCAAGGCTCAATCTTCAATTTTGGAGCCTCCATCTGACTTAAAAAGAATGGTGGATAAAATAGTTGAGTTCATTCTGAAAAATGGGAAAGAATTTGAATCAGTTCTCATAGAGCAGGATAGCCAAACTGGGAGATTTCCATTCCTACTGTCATCCAACCAATATCATCCATATTATCTCAAAGCTCTCCAAAAAGCTCAAGAGGTTAACTTCTTTGGAATTTATTTCTATTTTTGTCACTGTAGTAAAAATAACATCAAATCTATCTCCTCTGATTAGTTTAGTTGCCTAGATTGACTGTTGTACTTTGAAGCTTCTATTTATTTAAATGTCAAACTTTTTGTTCTTCAGTTTTTTTCGTGGTAGGGAACGGTTTCAACAGAGTTTTCTTAAACAAAAGGATGGAAGTACAAGAAAAAAATACAAACCTGAAGAAGAAAACCCCAATCTGCCAATTATAGCCTCCCCATACATTTTTCAGAAAAGAAAAATGACTTTGGTACTAGAGCCCCAGTAGAGTCATCCCTGTGGACCTCAAATCTGGCCAACAAGTCAGCTAAATTGTTAGCAGTTCTGATAAACTATTATGTTGCAAGTTTAGTGTTCAGACATTTTTTTAAATTAATTTCTTATACCATTTTTTGAATACATTATTTTTTTAAAGAAATATTTAGGTAACTTATTCTGATTCTAAAATGATCATGAGGTCTAAAGTAGATCCTTTACACAGTTATTGATTTCATAAGCTAGAGAATTTTGATTATCAGTTAGGATATCAAATTAATATTTATTCTATTTGTCCTCTCTTATTAATGCATTTCTGAACTTCCACAGTCAAAATTGCCTGGAAAAAGCCCCTCATCTCAGATGTGCGATTTAAAGGCTGCTTCTAAAGACAAGGATAAGTTGTCAAAGGGATCTTCCAGTCATGATGATATTCCATTTGATTTTGAGAGGAAGGAAAGGTTTAAGATGGTAATCGGTGGGCCAAAGAAGGATGTGCAAGACATATCATCCAAACCAACCCTACAGCCAAGTGGAGTGAGTGTGGATGCAGCTGAAGCCATTCTTCTTGCAGCAACAAGAGGCCTGAAAAATGCTAAATTGGATATCCTTGCAAAGTCATCACTTGATTCCAGTCGGGGCCTTGGTGGTGAGTGCAAGCCTGCTTCAAGCTTTGGTAGTCTATCCTCATCCCAAGTTCAGAGCTCTACTCCAAAACCAATTCCCGGTAGGAATGGAGTAAGTGTAGATGCAGCTGAAGCTATTCTTTTGGCTGCAACTAGGGGCCTAAGGAATCCCAAACTAGATATCCTCCCAAAGACATCAGTGGATGATTCTGGTCGGGGCAGTGCTGAGGATGGCCAAGCTTCAAGCCTATGTAGTCTCTCATCCCGAGCTCGGAGCTCTACTCCAAAATCAATCCTAAATGGTGATCCCAGTTTTTCCATGCCTATTGATTCGTCTCAAAAGGTTGACTACTCAGAGAAGGAAGGTAGCAGGACCAGTGATGTATCAGTTGCCAAGGCTATTGCTAAGACAGCAGCCCTTGCAGCTGCAAGTGAGGCTGACTCATCTGAAGCATGTTTAACAAGAGAACAGAAGCAAAAGGCAGAGAGATTGAAGAGGGCAAAGATGTTTGCTGCAATGATAAAAAGTGGGAAAGCACCTCATTCAAAAGAACTGTTACCCCGTTTATCCGCAGAACCACCAGATTCTGCACATTCTGGTTTACTAGGTTCTGGTTGCAAGGGGTCAGTACCAGGTACACAGGTCCCTCTATTTTCAAATCATTCGGGGGAAGAAGGTGATATTGTGGACAGAGAAAGAGAGGGTAGCTCAGTACCATTAGATGCCCACACGTCCAATAAAATGGATGGTTATGAAAAGAAAGAGCCTGATGATGATCATGAGGATCGAAGACTGAGGAAGAAGCAACATTCAAAGTCCAGAAGGCATGAGGAAGATGACAATGATGGTGAGGAAAGGGATCATAAGCACAGTAGGAAGAAGCACCGTTCTCATCATCCTTCCCATAGGGAAGAGCGCAAACATAGAAAGAGGCATTCATCTCCTAGTTGTAAGGAATCTCGTCACCGGCACAAGCACCATAGCTCATCTGAAGATGAGCATCGGCATCGGAGTCGGAATCATAAGCATAGAGGGAGATCCCACTCAGAAAGAACAGCAGAATCGGAGGATGATGAGATTAGTGCAAGTGTCTCAGCTGATTCAAATACAGTGAAGATCGGTGGTAATGCTACTAGGGAGACATCTCTGGGTTTATCAACGGATCCTCCTCCCACGGGAGAAACCCCATCAAACACTCGGTCATCTGACACTACAGAGGTGCCTGATGAGCTGAGGGCAAAGGTTAGGGCCATGTTGCTGGCGACCATGTGATCATCATACGTTTTTGCACTTCTATCATTAGCTCTTATTGTAATATTCTTGATTCTAGGCCTTGTTCTCATGGTCGAAGTCCAGCATGTATTCCTTCCGGTTCCATTCCATCTCAAGGATCAAAATGGTTATCTTTTCAAAGATATTTGGGTTATATGTTGCTTTTCAGTTTCCAAGGCTATTTTCTGATAATAACTAGCAGTTAGGTTAAAGGTTTTCTCATGTCTCTTATTTCTGTAGTCAACATATTCAACGTCAACATCATATCTTCATGCTTGGAATGTGAACTGTGATGTACAAAGAACGTTGTGATGGTACCATGTAGTTCAATTGAGCTCCAACCAGGCACCTTTTTCAAGCCCAACGATCTCATCTTCATCCATATTTCTCCCACTCCATCCCATCGTTTAATTGAAGCATAACTATGTGCTAATTGGACATAATTGCTAGCATTATTAGGCTTCAACATGAGGATTTCTCTGGCGACAATATCTCCAAGATCTGTATTTCTATGCAAGCGACAAGCATCAAGGAGTATACCAAGAACATCAATAGGAGGCAGCACGAACATCTTTTTGATGAAGTTGTATGCCTCTTCTAGTTGCCCAGCTCGGCCAAGGAGATCAACAATGCAGGCACAATGCTCAAGTTTTGGCTCAACCCCAAAATCTTTTATCATAGACTGGAAAATGTGCAACCCCTGGGCAACAAGTCCTGCATGACTACATGCGGAGAGCACAGAGAGGAATGTGACGGGATTTGGCTCAATTCCCGTGCTGAGAAATTTTGCGTACATGTTCAAAGCAATCTCCCCCTTGCCATGAGCACCAAATCCTGCGATTATTGTGCTCCATGACACCACATCATGCTTTACTATCCTGTTAAAGCACATCTCTGCAATCCTTATGTCCCCACATTTTGAGTACATGTCGATCAGAGCAGTGTCAACTGAGATGGAAGGCCCAATATTATTTCTTATCACAAAAGTGTGGATCCACTTCCCTTGATGAAGTGCCCCGAGGGAAGCACAGGCTTGTAGAAGGGATACAACTGTAATGGAATCGGGTCTTTGGTGGGCCATTCTCATTTCATTAAAGAGGAGCATGGCCTTGTCTAAATGACCATTCTGAGCATAACCAGAGACTATGGCATTCCACGAAACCACATCTCTATTGCACATTCCGTCAAACACAACCTGGCTTTGCTTCACCCTACCACACTTGGCATACATGGTGAGAAGTGAATTCTGGACGGCTATGTCTAGTTGCATTCTCTGTCTTATGATGTAGCCATGAATGGAGATTCCATGAGCAAATGAACCAAGTTGTGCGCAAGCTGCAAGGACACTAGCTATGGTTGCAGTACAAGGCATTACCATTGACTGTAACATCCATTGGAAGACATGAAGTGCCTCATCCGATCGATCATTCTGCACAAGACCTGAAATCATCGCTGTCCACGAAATGACATCCTTACTCGCAATCTGATTAAATATCTGAAACGAATCTTCAGATTTTCCGCATTTTAAATACATGACAACAAGGGTTGTCTCTATGTGTGCATCCGATTCAAACCCAGTCTTGACAATCTGTCCATGGACCAACTTGCCCAATTTAAGTGCACTGTCATTTGCAACAACAGACACCACAGACCCAAAAGTCTGCTCGTCGGGTGATATTCCCTCAATCTTCATTCTATTCAAAAGCTCCAAAGATTCGTTCAAGTTATCATTCTGGGAGTAACCGGCAATGAGAGAATTCCATGAAACAATGTCCTTGTGATCCATCAATTCGAACAGATGCCGAGCATTATCTACCGTTCCACATCTAGCATACACATTCAACAAAGAATTCAAAACTACAATATCAGACACAATACCACATCGAATTACGGAAGCATGCAGACATTGCAAATGGGCGAGCTGTGAAACACCAGAGAGCAAGCCCAACATGGTAACCGAATTGGGTTGAATATATTCTTCTCGCATCTGATTATACATAGAGAAAGCCAAATCAACGTGACCCATACGTGAATAACAGCCGATAATGGCTGTCCAAGGAACAACATTTCTTTCATGCATCGTGTCGAAAACCTTACGCGCGAGGTGAATGTCTCCAAATTTAGAATACATGTGGACGAGAGAGGAGGCAATGTAGGCATCAGACGAGTACCCATAAACGATGATGCGATGATGGATTGAAAGGCCATGGGAAGATAAGCCCAGAGAAGTGCAAGCTTTGAGCAAACAGGGGAATGTGTAAGCGTCGGGAGTAACGTTGTCTTTGAGCATAGAGAAGAAGGTGAGGAGGACATCTTGGTAAGCTCCTGCCGTTGAGAGACGATTGATTAGTTCGTTAACCGACTTGGTGACGCTACGCATAGGTGGCTCGTGGCTGCAGCGGTGGTGGTGTGACGATTGCGAGCGCTAAGCCAAAGAGGTAAGTTTAGCACCTCCATTCCATAGAAGCTAAAACAAGGATTAATAATAGGGAAAATTCCCAATGAGTATCCATTATTTGGTTCAAGTGACAATTTGGTTTCTAAATTTTAAAATGTGATAATTTAATATCTGAACTTTTAAAATATAATAATTCAATATCCATACTTTTAAAATATAATAATTCAATATCGGTACTTTTAAAATGTGACAATCTAGTACTTGTCATTAAGCAGCCCGTTAATCAGCCTTTAAGTGACATTTGAAAAGTCAAAAATGCCTTAAGAATGTAATCTAATTCTCTTTATCAAGCATCCAAACATTGACAATAAAATGAACAGTCCCAAATTTTAGATTCTTGTAAATAGTCCCAACCTTTTTGAATAGAAGAGGCTAGGATTTGGGACTGTTGAGTTTTTTGTCAATGTTTGAATGGTTCATAAAGAGAATTAGATGCCATTCGAAGGGCATACTTGACTTTTTAAATGTCACTTAACGGCTGATTAACGGACTAGTTAACGACAGGTACTGGATTATCACATTTTGAAAGTTCGGGTACTGGATTGTCGTATTTTAAAGTTTGAGGATCAAATTGTCACTCGAGCCAAAGTATAGGGTATTGATCGGGAATTTTCCCTTAATAATAATTTGTGTTTGTAGAATTTAGACCACAACTGACCCGACAACATGTTTGGGCCCCCATATGCTATCGGGCCATGCGAACTGGGTCAGCTTATAGACCTTAGGCTGTGTTTGTTTTGATAGGAAATAATAGAAAAACAGAAAATTGAGGGAATGGAAAGACATTCCCCCAATTTATACTTTTTCTCTCTTATTTTCTATCAAACCAAACATAAATACATAACCCAAGTAACCAGTGATGAGTAGCGAGATTTCAGTAAGGAATCCTTGACAATTGACATAGAACTTGGCATACTTTGAACTTTGCCCTTGCTCCATCTACCTTCCTTGTTGTATTGATATATGTTTTAGGCAAACAAATAGTATTTGGTCAATAAGAAACAGATATTTTTGTTAGAAACCACTAAAACAGAACCAGTGTGAAACCACTAAAACAGAACCAGTGTGAATTATCAGGTCCCAATACAAAATTTTAGCTATATCTGTCTGTTTCAACTTTCAACCAGACTTCTATTGCAAGTCTCGTCTAGAAACTGACGAGAGGACTTGGAATATAATTTTTCTTTTATCCTTTTTGTCTGTTGGGCTAGCTCCCCAGCCATTTTGGACTAGAAACTGACATATCCACATGCTCTCATCTTTGTTTCTCTGCTTTCCGTTCTCAGTATATTTTCCATGAAAATGTGAGAAATTACCAAACATTCAACGTTCCAAGATTGATTAATTATTCGGCAGCCCCATAAAGTCTTCTTCCATGGAGGATTCTGTTTGCTTTTCCTTCATGCAGCTGGAGAAAGTCCTACAGAACCTCTCAAATCATTCTTTCCCCACTTTATTCTGTGAATGTATTCCGTTGGGATTTGTAGTTAATTAGACTTTTTTTAATAATTTAGTTAATATCTATTTGCTGGGTCAATATTCTTTTCCCTAAATGTTCATATTGATTTCAGCAACAGGAGAAGAAAGATCAATATAAAGAAAAAAAAGAATAGGTTTGTCTTTGAGCCGATTTAGGATGCCAAAATTGAATATCGACATGACCCATTAAAGTTGGTCGTTCACACATCAAATGGTCCGACTGTTGGATGTAGGTAGGCATTTTAGAGCAGTTTATACACATAAATAATACTTATCAAGTCAATTATTAAAGGAATCAGTCGATGACCAACCTTACAGCCCATTTTAGAGCTGTTTCTGAGAAGTTGTCGGAAAGAACTTCAGCAGAAAGTCAATTTCTCAGCTCATGCAAATTTATTTTTCGCTTTTCGGGTTTTCAGCAATCACAGCTTCATGGCTTTCTGTGTGGAGCCTATATATCTTACAATGGTAGAAGCTGTAAGCCCTCCCCAAATAGATACTTAACATGTTAGCAAATATGTGATAAATGCAGCTGGTTGGTAAGGTTTCCTGCTGGTTCATCTAAATTTAAAATAATATTGCAACGTTAATGTAATTAATTAAGGGTGCTTATTATAAGAAACATATTCATTTTTGAACCAACCAAAAAAGCCAAATATTTAGAGTAGGGGGTTTGTCTTTATAAATATTCAAACCCCTCCCAACATGTCTATCATGAAAATCTCAGGTTGAAAAAAATATTTAAAAAAAAAAAAAAGAATCTTAATTATTAGCTCTTTGAATCATGCGATATATACACATGTTTGCGTCCTGGGTGTGAGTGTGTGACCCCTTAATGATGTACCTAATTAAATGTGTATATATATATATATATATATATATATATATATTGTTGGACTTACTGAGAGCATCACCAATAACCCTACTTATCAGTTATATGTCACTGATCAATCTAATAATCACCTTTGTCAATCCATGTTTCCATTAAACCAAGCAATGATCTACAAGTAGTCACTGATCATCGGTTAATTAGGATGACACATCAGTGGTGTCCAATACTGTTGATCTTAATTATGTCAGTTGAATTCTCTCTTGGTCTTGGAGGCTTCTCCAGTATATGGTCATCATCGATCCAGACCTAGGCACCCAAAATATATATCTCTCATTAATCTATAGCCTCTAATTTCTCTAATTTAAAGTCATCGTCTGTGGCTGTCCATTTATGACTTGTGGAGCTTTTCAAGAGCTAGCTTGAAGGGGGCGTTTTGTGATTTTCTAGCTAATGTCCCTGTAGCCTGTAGCCTGTTGCTGTAGGTAATGATGATAAGAGTCAAGAGGGTGTCCAAGAGGAAGATCAGAAGACAATCAGACATGGAATGAATATCCCCAACTCCACTTCACTACCAAAACCTACGTAAATCCCACTAGTGCTTGCCACGTTTGCAAGTTATCAGATAAGATTGTGAACTTTCCAAACACCCCTTCTTCAAAGTTTGAAACTCTATTGATGATGAATCAGCAGCTAGCACCTGTCACTTTAATTAGATTAGATGCATGGGTCACCCCCTGCCGCCCAACTTGGATTAATTAGTAGTAGGATAATGATGGTAGATAGCACCAAATGTTTCCTTTTCAATGCCATCTTATTCTTACAATTAATTTATTAGGTCCGTCATGCATGATGACTAGTGCTTTGATGATAAAATTAGCCTCTAAATTAATTCAAATCTAATCTCTTATTTTGTTTGTGATCTTTTTGGCGAAAAATTGGAATTCTGACTTGTCACATGAAATTAAGAATAATATCAGTCAGTAGTGTATATAGTCGAAGGTTTTAACAATATTACATGCATATAATATTATGTTGTCTGTCTTCAAGCACTAATCTTCCCTTATTAATCGAACGTGCATCAAAATTCTCAAGCATGAAATCTTTTGATTAAAGAAATAAGAAAAAAGCACATGCCCAATACTCAAATCCAAGTGCTGCAGGTAGGGTGGATTTGAGTCGAGTCGAATATTTGGTTATCCGAGTTCGGCTTGTTGATATAGTCTTTGAGCTCGAGTTAGAGACTTGAGATTGAGCTAGAGTTCGATTCGAGCTAGAGATTTAAGCTCGAGCTCGGTTCAAAGGTTGCAAACTCAAGCTCGGCTCGGCTCGAGTTCGATTACGAGCCAAATTTTTTCTTAAAAAATAAAAATTATATGTATATATATAAATATTTTTTTTATTTTACATACAACAAAATAAGTATTTATTATTATATATATAATAAAAAATATACGTATAAAAATTGTTTTTATTTTACATACAAAAAATACGAATTATACAAATTATTTATTTTATATATATTTATATGTATGTATGTATGTATGTATGTATGTATGTATATAATAAAAAGTTATTTATTTATTTATTATATTATATTAGGCTCGCGAGCTTCACAAGTTGACCTTCACTGGGCTCAAACTCAGCTCAACTAGCAAATGAGCCTATGTATCAGGCTCAAAGCTTAACTTGAAACTCGATTTAAACCAAATCGAGCCAAACTTGAATAACTCATGAGAAGCACGACTCGTGACCACCCCTGGCTGCATGGAGGACTGTTTAGGAAAACCATTCTGTCATATAAAGTAACCTTGAAGTCATCACTAATTTCACATCTCAATATTCAAGGGCTATATACATGCATACTTATTATATACATACATATCTATAATTCAAACACTGAATGGCATTCTAGGTTAATTTTTTTAATACATGCAAGTTTTTATATACATAACATATCCATATTTCTAGATAAAAGTCATATTTAGTTAAATGACTCAATTTTCAAATTCAGAACAAAAATTAATCTAAAGATCTATTTGGCTTAGGGGTCTGAATCAGTATTGGAATGGCCCGATTCCAAATACTTGATTGGATGGAATCAAGATCTGATTTCCATTAATTCTCGATGGAATGGCATTCTCCTATTTCAGGGAATGACTCCCCTCCATTGAGAATTAATGAGAATTCTATTCCAACTGATTCCTGTTCCGATTCCGATTACGAGTCAGACAAACCTTAATTAATTAGTAGAAAGATGGGGTAACTTCTCCTTGCCTCTCTTTGTTGATTGAATATGTCATTGTGCAACATAAACAAGACAACAGTCCCCAATCACATAGATTTTCCCCAAATGAGAATGCTTGAATAATCTAATATTAATATTTAGGAAAGCGGGAAGAAGAAGATAACTTGTAAGACAAAAACACATAGATGGCTTAAATCTATCTTATGTATGTAAAAGCAAGATTTGGCTCAACTGCAGAAGGCTTGCCTTCAAAAAAAAAACTACAGAAAGGCTTAACCAGTTACCACTATCATCAATGATGTAAGGTAAATTTTTAATTTTACAGCAGAGCAAAAAGATAAAAGAATATATTGAATGATTGAATCTATATCAAATTTTGTAATAATAATGTTAGAAGCAATATCTTAGAAATTCAACTAAGCAGTAGGATTGGATATGACCTAAGAACTACATCTTTTTCCAAGTTATTATGATAATTTTGATTTT